GATTTTAATGAATCGATATCATGTTGTCCAAGCCAGAATCGATTTTAATCGATGAATCGATTATTAAAACCCACCCCTATTGTCAAGCCAATTCTGTTGCCCCTATTTCCTCCACATTTGCCTTCATTTGCGTCAATGTAAAGAAATTTGCTCTTGGTATGTCATCTGTTTAAATAAAGGTTGCATTGACTCACTACACAATCTTGTGGTCCAAAGTGGTATTACATCAAAGTGCAGCCTAGTCCTAATTTTATTTCTGTTGATATCTCTAAACATAATAAAAGACACTTTAGACATAAATCAGTCTTTTCTTTTCTTTTGACTGATTAATGTCATTTTGGGAAGTTACACAAAACGTGCTTTTACAGAGTTTGCAAATTACAAGCACAACATACAGTTTAAGGCCCACAAATGAGAGACAAATGAAGTTTTGATATCATTGTTTTTATTTTTATTGTACAAAAATACATTTTTCTCTTCGAGCAGCTTCTCAGTATGTGCGATGTGCAAAGAACACAAGTTGTCAGGTATTCAAGTACTTCTTACTCATTGGATTTGGAGGTAGGCCTTCATATTTCAAAACACAGATATGAGGTAGTGTGTAACATCTCCCAGTCATAGTTTAGTGCTGGAACAATAAAAATCGATGGATCCAGCTGATTGAGAAGGATTAAATACGCTCCAATTTAGAGCAAAAGGAGGCCTATCGCACAGTGTTTTTACAGTGATGAGGAAACCGTGTAACAATGCAAAAGTAAACATTTACGCAAAGAACTTTATCTTGAAATCAGGCCAAAAACATAACTTCTGACGCAGATACAGTTACCAGGAAGTTTCCAACTGGACCTTCAAATTAAGAACACACTGCTTATTTCAGGAAACCGTTTTAATGCTAAATGTCCTTCAGTATCTAAGTGTATTCAGATTAACTGGAATTAACCTCCCAATTTTGTGAAATCATGCAAAGCACGCTGAAAATAACTCAACCGATCCTTCACTAAGTTCCCATAGAACTAAACGACACTCTTGTGTTTAATGGGATATTTTATCCCACAAAGGAAGTACTTTGTCCTGGAAAGATGGCAGCAAAAAAACTGCAGAGTCTGACTTTAGTCCACATTCATAATTCTTTTCAGTGCCAAAAAAAAAAAAGCTTGGCATCACAAAGCTTCTAGGGTCAAACAAAGTACCATCAGTCAGTCACCGGTGCTGATGGCAGCTTGTTGACAAAACACAACAGAAACTTTGAAAAGGATAGCTCTATCTTTTTACTGACCTATTCTATAGGGATGCACCAATCCATGACACTTCAGATACAGTAAATATAACTTTTCTTCAGGATCTGCAAATTTTAAGCACCATCCATCCATTCTTGTACGCTCATCCAATTCAGTGTTGTGGGGCAGCTGGAATCTATACCAGCTAGCAGAGGTGGGATACACATCCTCATACTCAGATCATTACTATTCAGATAATCTGGTCTATTATTGTAAAATGTCAAATGAATAACAGACCACTTTTCCTTTAGGAGACATGGCTTTCTCCATGTGATCTGTTAAAATGGTGGCATTTGGGAAGGAACAAAAGGATTTTCCAGAGTGCTTTGCATGCTGGGATCAACTCATTATAAGGTTTTCTTGAACATTTTCACTTTACGAAAAATATACTCAAAAATTAACCAGGTAGACATAAGAAGAGTGGAGTAAGGAAACAGCAGTGTAATCCAGTGTGTAAATTTCAACATCTTCACTGACTGTTGTACTTCTGGGGGATTAAAGTCCTGAGATATTGACATGCAGTTTTTTTTCACATGTATGTGAGCATTGTTGCAGTTCCCACTGTTCACTACTAAAGGCAACGCATCAGTTAATGCCCCTTTAAAGCGCAAGGTAACACTGAACTGACAGCAACCACTACAGCAGCTGCTCTTCAATTTCCTTCATGTGACGGAAGGTGATGAGGATATATTTATATTTATATATATTTTTTAGTTGTTTTTTTTTAAGAGGTCAGACATGGGGTGGTGGGGTGTCCAAGGGGTAGTTTGTACTATTGGTGGGACCAAAATAGCCCCACGTCAGGTGCTACTTTACACATCGGCTCAGGTTACAGTTCAACCAAAACACAGAGGCTCCAGAAGCACATGAGCGTGAACAGAAAGTGCTTTTCAGTGTTTAAATCTGTCCTTAGTTTTCTCGTCTCGTCCAAAAATAAAGATATTTATATTCATATATATATATATATATGTACAAAGTCCTACATGTAAACAACACCACGGTGTGGTGGACTCCTCGCCTGTCTGGTGCCAAGAAGTTTCACACAGCAGCTGAGTGTTTCGCTCCATCTCTGAGCTGTGGAGGCAAAAACAAACACACTAACAGACTTCAGTGAAACCACCGTCACAACAACTGCATGATCCTCACCCTCTAAACAGGTCAGTTAAAATGTGTGTTGTTACAGATTTTTACCTTTAAATGTAACATAATAATCCTGATCCTGTGGCAGATTCTGCTCTGCATTTATAACCGTAAAGGGTCCGAGCCAGACTCCAACACATGCTGTAAACACTTGTGACCCACACGGATTCACAAATGTTTCATGAACAAAGAAACATTTGTGATGCTCAGATCATTAATTTAAAGTCTGCAGCTGGGTTGAGGGCTCTTGAAGGCACCACAGCCTGATTTCATTTTGTGGTGTCAGTCAGTAAGGAGACAGGTGCCACTAGCTATGTAAAGACCGTGCATCATTGGGTCTGCATTGAGCAGATCTGTGTGGTTTGAGGACCTGAGCAGACCCAAACAACAAGTGGAGGAATCATGGATGTGGCTAAAAGCATCTGTGGTACATTCTCCCTGTCCTTTAAAATGAGATTTCAATTGTACAGTAACATCAAACGACAATGGGAAGAAACAGTGTTGACCTCCTCAAAGCATGACTATAACTATATACACCAATAAATTTAAAAACATCCAATAAAAAACTTTTTTTTCATGTCTTAACTGACTGTATATAAAAGATGGACATAGCCACGTGGGCTCAATGTGAGAGTTTTTGAGCCAGCCTAAAGTGGTGTATTATGAGCACTTTGGCTTGTAACCAGTGTTTATTTTGATTTATTTTAATCGACTAAATGAATACGATTATAATTGACTAAACCTAAAACTGACTATAAAGTGTAAATATTTGTCACATCAAATGCAAATTTTGTTTTCATGCGAAACAAAGAACATTGAAGTTGTACAACAACAACACCAGCAACCTTGGATGCTGAAAAGTTGTATTGTTTCTCTTTGGCAGATCAAATGTGCCATCTAACCTTACTGCACGAGGAAAATCATTGTGATTGGATCACTTCCAACCTCATCCCGCCTTTCTACACAATTGTTCTGATTGGATCTCATCTTTCCAGAATGTTTTTATCTCATTTTTCTTTGTTAATAAATGTGTCAATACATTTCATTATAATTTTTGTCCTCGTGCATGACTTATTAGTTCTCCTCACCCCTTTTTCCTGTTAAAAGGGAGGTTTTCCTTCCCACTGTCACCAACTGCTTGCTCAATCTTCTGGTTTCTGGGGTTTTCTCTGTATTATTGTAGGTTCTCTACCTTACATTGTAAAGCACCTTGAGGCGGCTGTTTTTATGATTTGGTGCTATATAAATAAAATTGAATTGAATTATTTAGTTATCATCTTGTCATAACAAAAGGTGAAAAGTATGACAAATTATTATTTGGCAAACTTAACAGTGGTTGTAACCAGACTGTGTCCATAATTTTTTCTTCTTCTTTACTTTTATTCCCTCGTAGCATAATCACATGCTTCTGTGTTGCCACCATATCGTTACGTCCCCTAATTCATATTCATGGAGGCAGGATGTGCCCACAATTAAAATGATCACAGTTCTGAGTATTTGCGGGCAGTTTGCTTTGGGTTTATTACAGAAGAATCTGACCACCCCCTAACTGTTTCTTGCCCCCCTCCTTATGTCTACGTGCCACCCCACCCCCCCAAAATCCGAGAAACGTCCCTGGCACTAATCGACTCTATGGGTGTGAGAAGCCACTCACCAGCTTCCTCTGGTTGCTGAGGCAGAAGGTGCAGATGGGCCGCAGGGAGGGCGCGTTGAGGGCGGCGGGGCCGTGCAGGATGCTCTGGTAGCGCAGGCAGGGCTGTCCGTCCAGGCAGTCCTCCCCCAGCAGCAGCACGTTGGCCAGGTGGGAGATGTAGCTGGAGGCCAGGCGCAGTGTCTCGATCTTGGAGAGTTTCCTGTCGGCGGGCTCGGTGGGGATAAGCGTGCGGAGCGCCGTGAAGGCCGTGTTCACGCTGTGCGTCCTGTCCCGCTCCCGCGCGTTGGCCGCCTGCCTCTGTTTGCTCACGCCGGGCAGACGCGCGTCTCCTCCGCTGCTCCTTCTCCGTCTCCTTCTTCGTTTCGGGGCTCCCTCCTCCTGGACCACCTGCCCCGGCTCCCTGCGCGGCGTGCAGCCGCCGTCGGAGCTGTTGCTGGCGCTGTCCAGGTCCTCCAGGTCTGAGGTGAAGCAGTCTGGCTGCACGGTGCGCTCGCCGCCGGTGGACTTCATCCTGACTCTGCTGCGGCGTGACTGGAGCTGCTGGGCCGTGCGGGCGGCTCGCTGAACACCACTTTATCCTGAGGGTGAAAATAGCTCTGGGGGTCGAGCAGCTGCCGCCGATCCGGTGACTTAGGGGGCCGGCACGCCATTTCTAATGACTGACGGCTGCTTTCTGGATCGCCAGCCCGCCACGGAGAAGAGAAGACAGGTGGAGCGTAAAGGGAGTGGAGGAGGGGGGCACCTGTTGTGGTCTGGAGGATATGGGTTTAAATTAGGCTCCACCGAGGTGGGGCTCCCCTCAAGGCCAATAGGCCATATTCCATATTTGATTCAGACTGAAGCTTCTGTCCACCAATATCTGTTTACACTTTAATGGGAAATAAAAACAAAGCAACAATTCTGCAAATCATTTTCCTCACGTCTTTAAGTCGTCTTCAGGAATAGTTCTCCAGGCTTCTTGAAGTACATTCAAAGCTCTTCTTTGTTTCTGCCTTTTGTTCTGTTCTCTGTCAACATGATCCCACACTGCTTCAATAATGTTGAGGTCTGGGCTCTGGGGAGGCCGATCCATGACTGATAGTGCTCCACTGTGTGTTTTTCTGTCCAGGGATGATTTTACTGCATTGGCAGTGTGTTTGGGATTATTGTCATGATGAAAGATGAAGCTGTTGCCAATCAGATGGTATTCCATGGTGGTTTAAAATCTGATGGGACTTTTCTGTGTTCCATAATTCATGAATTTTAACAAGATCTCCAACACCATTGACTGAAATGCAGCTCAAACCATGACTGTGTTTTACTGATGGCTGTAGACACTGTTGTAGCTCTCCTGACCTCTTCTGTACATGCTGATGATGATTTGGACCAAAAGTTTGTGGTGCATTCATCACTCTATCAGACCTGTTGCCACTGATTTTAAGTCCAGTTCTTGCGTGATAGTTTTTCAAGCTTGCTGCTTCTTCTTTTGTCCAGTTTCCTCAATTTTTTTAAGGACACACTGCACACCATGATGAGATATGCCAGGTTTTCAGCTGATAACTCTTTGGGAATCACTTTGTTGGTGCAAAAATACTATTTTATGTCAATCTGTCTTATCTTTGTCATTTTCATAGATTTATCTAAAGAAATAAAAAGAAGTGATGTGTTTTTGTGAGGCTGTTAGTAACAAGGTGCCTAAAGAAACACATTAAACGTGGTTCTGCCTCTTTTACAGATGGATTTTTTTATTTTATTTGATCCACTATGGAGCGTTTTCTCTTCCTTCTTTCTTTTCATGGATGAATTATCAATGTTAATATTTACTGAAAGGAAACCATTTCACAGAGATTCAGTCTGGACCTCTCTGACTTTGAACTTTACTGTGTGTGCGTGTGTGTGTGCGTGTGTGTGTGTGTGTGTGTATTCACTGGCAGCTCTCCTGGCTTGGCTGTCGGCTCCGAGCTTCACTGAGTGAACAGTCCAGGTGTTTTCCTCCCTGTCCGTCCCGTCCCTTCCCGCTGTCTGTGCCCACCACGATGGACACACACACACCTCCTCCTCCACCTTGCCGAGTGCCATCTTTGGCGGTGGATATAAATATCTGTGAACACATTCGTGTGTGTTGCTGAAAAACCTCTCAGCCACTTTCAGGCTATCACTTTCATTCAGATTAGACCTGAAAGGGGAAGTGAGTTTGGGCTTATTGATGAAATTTAATCTTAACATAAACATTGAAATTTCTCAGATTTTTTTTTTTAAATAATCTTGATATATTTGTATTGTTGTCACCAGAGGGCAGTTAACTCCCAATCATCATTTCCACTCTGTAGCCCTGTTGCCACAGGAGGCCAAACAGTATTTAAATGAACATACTGGACTTAAAAGTCCCCCATAACTTTAAAAAAAAAAAAAAAGTTAATATGGAACAATTGACTCAAAACAGCAGAAAAGTCAGCTGGCTCTTTTGCCTTTGGCTGAGAGAGGGAAGGAGAGGAATCCTAATTGGTGTTGAGCTAATGCAACCTCATTAATCTCTTAATCCTCCTTTCCTCGCAGCCTTTGTTGCCCCGTCCTGCTGGCTGTGAACTTGTCTGGCCCCTGCAGCAAAGTCAAATGCCTCTCTGCTGCTGCTCTCAGCCAAAGTACCTATTGTAAAGCCTTATCTTTAAAAATAGTTTAAAAGTTTACATAATTAACTAAACAATCAGCAAAATGGGAAGGAACAACTGGAGAGTTTATTTCCAAAGTGTCTATGTGTTGTGTTGTAGAGATAAAAACTAGAGCTGAACTAGGGCTGGGCTGTACATTCATGTAATACCATCTTGTACCTGAAGATGGTGCAGTGAGTCAGCAAACCCTTATTTTGCCAGACACCCCTTTCAGACGTTCTTATTTGCAATGAAAGTCTGCCAGAAGTTAAGCAGCAGGTAAAATGCTGCCCCCGTGGTTAAAAAATAAAAGAAAGAAAACAAAATCTTGAATTCAACAAAGCTTAATTACAGAAGGTACCTGTAAGGAAATTAACAAATTAAAAGCATCATCAAGTTAAAAATACACCAGGGACGTAGCTAAGGGGAGGGCCTCAGGTGCCTCCTCTAAATTCCTTCCGGAAGCCATTTTTTCTGGGAAACAGCCTTTTTCTCTTCCATGCACCATAGTAAATACAACTGTAGACTTATTTACTCTTAAACTCATATAAATATGGAGCCACCCATTTTGTTACATGACACACCTAATCAATTTTTATAGAAGCAGGAAGTCTGTCCACAGTCTAAATTATTACAAGTTGCTGAATTTTCAATTACATATAAGTGATTTGGTTTGGTATTAATAAATACCCCCCCCCCCCCTGGTTCTTGTGCCACCCCATCTAAAATTCCTGGAGACGCCCCTGCTTCCATATATATTCAGGTTATTAGGAAGGACAAGAAGCGGTACCTCTAAAGGAGCTTTATTTTCTTACAAAACAGCCAGTAGCCAATGCTTTGATAAGAAATAACAGATTATACACTGATTAAGAAATATACAACAGCAAATATGTGACAATATAAAACAACCAAGTAAATAAATAAATACTCTTACTGAGGTTTGGATTCACGGTGAAAAGGACAAACCCTGAAGATTTACAGTAAACTGCTGTAAATGAGTGAAAGAACCTAATGAGTCAGCACAGTTAAACTCTGAGGACGTGTTAATGTGTTAGGGTGACAAAATATCTTTTAGTGTTGGGACTGCAAATAATGTTGAACCTCAGGTGAGGATTTTTCCTTTCTGAAGTGTAGGTTGTGTAGGTTTTAGATGTTAATCAAGTCTGGAAAATAGTTTTCCTCTGCAGCTTAAGAGCAATTTCTCATCGGTGTGACCAATTCCCCAAAACAAACAAACATAAAACAGGTTGTCCACGTGTTAGCTTAGCACAAAAACGAGGGATAAGCTGCCTTTTTCTCCGTCTTGTATGTCGGCATCACTAGTTTCCATGCTAAGCTCAGCTGATGGTGACCTTTGGAGTCTGATTACGTCGTGGTGCTTTCCAGATCACCTGAGGGTTTTACCGCCAGCTGTTTGGTGTCAGCCTCGTGTGATAGGCAGCTGGAAAAAACAAAACAAATAAAAACATGAGGCTGGATAACTACACAGCAGAAATTTAACCTTATTTTGTATCTTTTAGTTGGTGTTTTATCTCCCTACACTTGATTATTTTCACTTTTTGTACTTTTTTTGTCTTTGTTTTGTCTTAACTTCTATTTTCTGCCATTTTATCTGCATCGTCTCTATTAAGACTTTTGGCATTCCTCTGTTTTTTTTATATCTTGTATATCTTTTCTATACTGTAAATAATATTGTTTTAACTTTTGAATATTTCATTTTAATTCACCGTGGCACTTTGAATGCCTTAGTTTTACTTTTTCACTACTATTTTTTACATGTTTTTTAAAATATAGAGTTCTGTTGTACCAAAACAATTTCCCCTGGGAATAATTATCATTCTGATTTCCAATAATAATCCAATAATCACACCGTGACGCCTCTGCTTTTGTAAATGGAGGGACAGTAACTGCGTGTGTATATGTAAGCGTGTAAAACCTGAAGATAGTCAGATTAACAGTAACAGTATTTTGTCTCTATCTGTCATTCTGCAATTCATCTCATGTAAATGTGAAAAAAGGCACATAACTTTGATGTTGCGTGACAAACTTTGTATTCCTCGTCCACACGTAATTTTTTTTTTCTTGTAAAACAAAGGGGGGCCCAGCAAAAAAACTTTGGGAACCATTGGCCTAACCTAACACTCCTGCTCATCCTCCAAACCTCCTTAACTCCTGACTTCCTCTTTAAAGATTCTCATGCAGAGCTTTTGTATGTCTTTCTCTGCTGAAATTCCTGCACTTTGTCTGTCCTCCAGCTGGTGCAAAACAAACAAAACAGCTTCAGTTACTGGGCAGTTTGAAAAATAATAACAATGATACATGACATGTGATTGTAACGGGAGGCTGGACTGTGGCAATGAACTGCAGCTTGTAAAATCCAAACATATAGAGCAGTGTTTGGCTTTGATCCCCGAGCTTCAATACATCATCGTCTGTAAGTGGCCAGTTCATGAGGACGGACTCATGTGTTTCTGTTTTTCTTCATGTGAGTCTTCTGTCTCTCATCTGTGAATCTGACAGTCTGGAAAAAGTGACGTTCCTCCAAACAAGGAGGAACAAATAAGAGGCCAAAACACAGAAAACACTTAACAAGTAGGTCCTCTCCTCTTTAAACTGAGGCTCCAGGTTCAGTTCTTACCCTCCTGGAGCAGAACGACCCCGAGAATCCATTCTGGCAGGCGCAGATATTCGGCCGGATGCAGCGACTGCCGTACAGACACTTCTGCTCACAGAGAGCTGAGACACAACAGCAACAGATACACAGTTAGAAGATCAAATAAATCAGTCCTGCTACAACGTTCTCTGTAAGATCCCATCTGAAGTTTATCATTCAAGGCACAAAGAAAACATTTCTGAAACAAAATGAGATAAAAAAAAAAAAAGCTCTTACTTTATATTTAGTGGGCCTGTGAGAGAAACATATCTGTACTGACATGGACTGCCACGTCATTTGACAGAAATGAAAATGATCAACCTACAAGGGCTGAATTCAAAGACACCCTGAAAATCAGAGTGAAGAAATGATGCAGTGGGCTGATCCTGTTTCTTGGAATTTCATTGCAACAACTCAAAACTGTTCTCTGTAGTTTTTATGCAAGACTGACAACCTGGAACCTTGGATGGTGTCCCAGTCTGAGGAGCAACCTTGTGGTGTCAGATGGACCAAAACATAATGTCCAAGAGGAGTTCTGTTGGATTTAGGTCAGATGAGTGTGACAACGAGTCAATGGTATCGATGCCTACGTCCTCCATGCATCCTGCCTGTTCTCACCACATGAGGCTGGGCTTTGTCGCGCACCAGGAGCAACCCGGGACTCACTGCGCCATTATATGGTCTGACAGTCAGTCCAAGGACTTCATGGCAGTCAGGGTACGGTTGTGTAGCCTGCAGTGGTCTGTGGGATATTCCTCCCCAGACCATGACTGACCCACCACCAAGCTGTTCATGCTGAACGATGTTACAGGCAGCCTAACGTCCTGCACTATAACACATCAGACCCTAAACTAAAGTAACTGTTTGTGTCCTGGGATCTCCTACATGATCCTGGACACAGCAAACTTTCTGACAATGGCATGTATTGATGTGGCGTCCTGGAGGAGTTGGACTACCTGTGCAACCTCTTTAGGGTCCAGGTCCAGCCTCAGTGTCACTACTGCTACCAGAAATGACACTGAGGCTAGCCAAAGGCAAAAGTAGTAAAAAAAAAAAGCAGATGAGGAAGGAAAAGCTGTGAGTGTCCTTCACCTGTAAGGCCTTTCCTGTTTTGGAGGTTGTCTTATTGTTGTCCCTCTAGTGTACCTATGAGTGTGTGTTTGGTTTTGAGACTCACGGATCTGACACAGCGTGCCATGCCACCCTGGGGCGCAGTGGCAGGTGTTTGGACCGACGCACTCGCCTCCATTCAGACACTTCTGCAGACAGCTGGCTGAGAGGACACACGATGACAGAAAGCTCTGAACATCATCATCATCAAATATTTGTTCTGTTTTTCATTCACTTAATACATAATGTAAATGAACAAATTGACATATACATTTTTAAATAGCTGAGGTGCAGGGCTGTGCTCACACCCAATGTCAATCACAGCACACAGCCACGGCTCTCACAGCTGGAGTCCAACTGAAGGATGTGTCATGTGGTCTTTGTGGTCACAGAAGTCCACACAGAGCCCCGCCTTCACTCTGATGACATATTTAAATCACTTCGACCGGAGTAGGACTTGAGGGTAACAACAGTTTTCCTAAGAAAGCTTGAGCAAGTCAGCAGGTAACACTTATCTGTAATTCATCTCTTCTTCTTTTGAACTTCTGTCTCTTAGGTAACTGTTACCACTCTGCGAGGGTCAAAGGTCAGTCAAGTGAAACTGTGCAGGCACTACACCTGATGGTTTCCACATGTGAAGCACCTCTGCGGAGGTGTCTGTCAGCAGAGCCTGGAGCTGCTCTCATGACTCCAGGTCAGTCTGAGAAACTCGCCGTGTGCTCAGGAGGTCGGCACGAAAGCAAGGCGAGAACCGAGGAACGTTTGCTGTGTTGTTTGTCACCTCACAAAAACTACAGAGCAGAATTTCATGAAACTTATTGGAGACGTGGAGCATGGGTGAAGCAAGGACCTTAAACTGAGCAAAAATATGTTCTTATTTAATGATGTTTTTCATCTGAGGTTGTATTTACCTCATTTCCAGTTCTGCTAAGGATGTTTTTTATCCCCAAACATGTAAAACCTTAGAAGTGAAAGAGGCTGTACTCTGACTGTAGGTCAACATAAGAAGAGAGCAGAAGAAGTGTTCAGGTGTTCATGTCTGCCTGAGCGTTACGGATCATTACACGTACGTTTGTCACATCTCTTCCCTCGCCAACCGGACAGACAATCACAAACATCTGGACCAACGCACCGCCCGCCGTTCATGCACATGGGCTCACACACACCTGGAGATGAGGAATGAGGGAGACAGTTTTAATCAATTAATTCTTTAGTTTGTCCAAAACATGACAGTAAAAGCACACAATCTGGAAATTAAAGTGACACAAGAGTGATAATTAAAATAACTGGAGCATCTGCAGACAAGGAAGATGACCAGGAGATGAAGAAGAAGCGCTTACTTCTCTCACACCGTCTCCCCGTGTATCCCTGCAGACATGAGCAGACGTTGTTTCTCATACACAGACCACCATTTTTACAGGGAGGGTTGCAGACAGCTGGAGGAGAAAAACCATATTAGAGTAAAAGTCCTGTTTTTCCTATATTATTGCACTCCAGTAGCTTTGCATGATTAACAGCTCAAAATAATCCTTAATTATCTTCTACTGGGCCCCTCTGCTCATCTTCTTTCTGAAACAAGGCCTCTTAGCCCCTCCCCATTTAAGCTAGCTTTCTTCTGATTGGCTAGTCCTCACCAACAGACATCTGTAATGTCAGTATTAGGATAAACAGTCTCTATTAATACACTACACATACATAACTTGATTATTTGAAAAACGGGTCATGTTTAATATGAGAATCAACCACTAAAGCAGTATTTTTGTGATTTTGAAAAAGGTAAAAGCAGAATAGCTCCAAATGTAGATGCTTTTTTAAAAGACACTTTTAGCTTTGAATCTAGCCTGCTGTAGATTTACCGTTCTGACAGTGTGCACCGTAGAAACCGTGAGGACACTCGCAGGTATTCGGTCGAACACACAAACCTCCGTTCAGACAGACAGGGGAGCAGAGAGCTGGAAAACAAAATTTGCAGTTAAACTTTACCCTAAACTTAAATCAGATCTTTGCCTCCTACAGCATGAGTAACACAACTCACCGGTCTCACAGGACGGTCCAGTCCAGCCTGGTGTACACATGCACTCATCTGGAGATGCACACTGGCCTCCGTTTTGACAGTGACGGCTACACACCACTGCAACCAACAAAAAAAACACATTTATTTAATTCAATTCAGTGAATTTTTATGTTGATTTTGTGGCCTTGACGTGTCAAGGCCACAAAATCTTAGTGAAAGTGGAAGACCTCCCTTTTAACAGGAAGAGACCACAATAACAGTTATGAAAGAAAACGTTTTTAAAAAAATATTGTAAATTAAGACCGTAAAATTAGAAAGAATTACCAGAAACAAAAGAACAATGTATACAAATGTACTGCTGTTTTAAAAGATCTTCACTGATATTTATATAAAAGAAGTAAACTCACTTGTTTCACATCGAGGACCAACAAACCCGTAAGGACAGGAGCAGGTCTGCAGTCCCACACAGGTGCCTCCATTTTCGCATGGTGACCTGCACAAGGCTGCACACATGGAGTTTAGAAATGAGATGTAATACCGACATATTTTCAGTGCATGCTCTTATAGACTGTAAATAAAAGTGGACATAACCACTGTCACATCAGTCATTGGTTTGTGAAGACCTATTTTGAGGCCTATATAAAATACATACCCGCTAATTAGCATTAAGTAACAAAAAGATAAAATAATGACAATTCACAGAACATGTGGGACTGCACAGCAAACCATATTACCTGTCTACTAAAAATGCCCCAACAGGCACCAACACCATAAACATAGTCCAGAGGTCCACTTAAATGACTCTGATTAACTAAAGTGACGGCTAGCGCCTGTATTCACTGAACCCTGTGTAATTTTAAGCCTTAATACAGTTTAACTGGGTTGCTTATAAAGAAATGGTTTTCATTTTAGGCTGTAAATATTTTTATTTCTGCTGTAAATTTGGATTTACAGTCCATGTCCCTCAAGTGGACATTAGAGGAAGTGTAGTGTTTGTCACTTCATTTTTCATCACCTCAGGTTGTTACTTGTATACATGAGGTGGTGCTATTTACAGTATTACCTAATGGTTAAGTGAGCTTCATAGCAGCTACCAGAGGTAGTTGAAGAATTTATAAGCTATTATAAAAGTTAATCATTCTTAAGTTTTAAGCCTTTAATTAATTCATTGTCTCAGTATGTTATACTAAAAATTCGCATTAAATAGATCCTTGACTGGATTAACTTGGAAACAGAAGCAAACTTTACCTTCCTGACAAGTCTCTCCATGGTATCCTCTGAGACACTGGCAAACATTTGGTGCAATGCAAACCCCACCATTCTTGCACTCCGGATCACAGATGGCTAATAAAATACGGGAAAACAATTATTTTAGACTTAAATTATTAAAAAATAAATTCTAATGCTATTGCTTTTTACCTTTTTGGCAGCTAGATCCAGTGTAGCCTGGTTTGCAGCGGCATGTGTTGGGCGCAGCACACTCCATGTTCCTACCGCATGCATGCCTGCAAACAGCTTGAAGCACAGATGGGGAGGAGCGTTAAGATGTTAAACCTACATATATTTTTCTATTAGACTGGTTTCTCTTTTGTGGCATATGGACTACATACTAGAGATGGCACATACCAATTTTTCATGTCCGATACCGATATCATAAATTTGGATATCTGCCGATACCGATATGAATCCGATATAGTGTGTTTTAATCAATAAAACTGTTTTTTAAATATCTTGCTGCATTTTGTATAAGTTCATACTCAAGTTAAAAAAAACAAAAAATCACTAAAGCTATTCTGTTATACCTGTATGCAAAAAATACACTGCACCCAAAATATTTCATAGTTCAGCAATACTGATCAATCTAATAACCTTAAACCTACTCCATCCTCCCTATTCTGGTATTTTAAAGAGTAAGCAACCTAACTAATAGGGTTCCAAACTCCCAGCAAATAAATAAAAAAGGGAACCACCCTCCACCTCATGATGCTTAATCGACGTAATCAACTTTAATTTGATGCAGTGTCAAAACAAATGCACAGAAATCAATTATTTTTGAAGAATAATTAAATAGATTCAACATCTTTCTTCAACAGAATTGCAGACTGCACAGAT